GCCAACGCTAGCCCAAGGAAGGAGACGGTGCTGACAGATGGACAGACAGCTGAAGAGGAGGGGCAGGAGGTGGGAGAGAACAGGTGGCAGGGTCAGGAGGAGCCAGGCATCCCATGGGAAGGGGCCGGGCAGGGAGGATGCCATCCAGAGCCTTGAGCTGGGCCAGACCTGAGACGGGAAGGATGCTGAGGTCACGGGAGGGGACGAGATCTGCCCAAGGCCACATGACCACCCAGAGCTCAGAGCTGGGCTTCACTCAGGATCTGTCCAGGACTCCGATGTCCCATCGCCTAGGGAGGCCCCTGCCTAGAAAGCCCTGTGCCCACTGCGTGCTGGGTGGAGACTGGGCGGCAGCCCTGTCCCCAAGACCAGCATCTGTGCCCAGCTGGACGAGCCCCCCTGCTGCACCTCAGGCCTCCTATCCGTCACCAGGGGGCAGAGCTGCTTGGGCTTCAAGGTTGTAGGCGGTAACCCCAAGACTGTGCCTGGAATTCCAGTGGGACAGGCACAGTTCCTCCCCTTCGGGCCCGCCCCAACCACACGCAGCGAAGACACGTGCGTCTCAGCCATGCCAGTGATGATGGTGAACTCGGCAAACACAGCCCTGCGACCGCCCTCCTCCTCCTCCCCCAGCCAGCTCCCCTGCTGGGCAGCGCCCACTCCAGCACCCAGCCCAGCCTCACCTGCTGGCCACCCTCCGGGTCCCTGAGCAGTTCCGTTTCGGCAGCAGAAAGATGGTTGAGGCTCTGGTCGCTGTGGCAGCCCAGGGTGTACTCATGAATCTGAAAGAGACAGACCCCAGGCTAGGCGAGGAGCGGATACTTACTCCCAGCACAGGGGCCCGCCCAGTACCCGGGCTCTAACGGGAGGCCCCCACAGAGGGGGACATCTGGACCACCCCAGGCTATGTCAGTGGGAAATCCCACCTGTGGTCTCCCCATCCCACCCAGTTTCCCAGCGGGGTGTGATGTGCATGGAGGGGTCACCCCTGCTTCACCTATTGATGGGGACAGAATAGCCTCCAGAGAGGCGCTGCAGTCCAGTGAGGCCCATCAAAGGGACAGGGGAGCGACTGCCTCAGGGTGGGGTCACGGAGGTCACCATCCCAGCTGAGGGTGAACAGTGGGGAGTGTTCCACGAGGGAGAGCCCGGTGGTCCGAGAAAAGGCCAGCAGAGCCACAGCCGAGGGTGGCCATCTGCCAAGGGTAGGGCGTCCCAAGCTGGGGGCTTCCAAGAACCAGAAGGATAGAGGCCCGGACCCTGCATGGGTGGGAGCCTTTGGCCACCCGCCCAGCCCTGATACTGTACTGGACACGTTGCTGGGCCTGTGGGAGCCTCACAAAGATGGCCATGCCCCTCAGCAGCTGATTGCCCTACCAGCCTCCAGAGGCCCCACTGCCCGCATCAGCCCACCCTAAGATGCTTGTGGGCCAGGCCCCACGTTCCCAGGAGGCAGGAACACCAGTGGCTCCCCTAGGCTCAGTGCCAAGGGTCAACATAAGGTTCCCCTGGGGGCACTTGGGCCCCGGGAGTCCACAAGAAGCAAATGAGTCCCCAGCTTCCCTCGCAGCCAGGGGCCTTGGAATCGTGGCAAGGAACTGGCAGGTGTTGATAAGCATCCATCACAGGCACAGTCAGCTCCGGGGAACAGCAAAGCAGAGAAACGCTCCCGGAGTCTCACCCACAGGGGACCCCAGGGGTCCTGCAGGCTCGACCCACAGAGGGCAGCAGGAATAAGCAGCACTGAGAGGACAAAGCAGCCAGACCTCTGTTCTGAGGACACCCCAAACTGTAGACGGGGACAGAAGAGCCTCCAAACAAGTGCCCTCTGCCTCCGGCACCTGCTCCAGGATAGGACAGACCACAGGTCACTGTCCCCCCGCCCCCCCGGCACCCCCACCATCCCTCTGGCAAAACCCCCTTATCCCTTTTGCAGTCCACACCAGCCCCGCCTGGGCAGCGGTGCCGGCAGTAACCAGCAGTCCATCCTGCAGGTGGCCTCACTCACAAGAGACGCAAACCAGGCTGACCACACTGAGCAATGGACGCAGGTGATGCTGCCCCCAAGGCTAGCGCCTCCCTGGGCGAGTATGCCCTCCATTGACAAACTAATAATTCATTAGGACTGTCCTGGCACAGTCCGTGTCAGCCCTGCCCAGGCCACCTCCAGTCCTGAGGAGCTAGCCAGCACTGCCTCCACGGCATTATCACCACTCAGCAACAGAGTCTGAAGATTTCTCAGGTACAGGCACCCCCAAAACCTGGCTTCTGCCCCCAACTAACTCTCCTGCCCCAGTGTTGCCCAGCTCCGAACTGTTCTGTGACCCCATCCCAACCCAGGACACCACACCAGGACAGGACCCAAGCCCATCACCCCTAGTCAAGGCCAGGCCCCAGCTACACAGAGCTCCCCAGGGAAAGGCGGCCCAACGCGGCAGCACTACCTTGCTCAGGAGAGCGCACTGCGCCTGATGACTACAGATGAGGTTCCGCCACCGGAATCGCAGCTTTCCCATCAGCCACTGCACATGGCGCACGTCCACGCAGCCCTCGGTGTCTTTGCAGAGGGTAGGCGGGCCAGGGCTGGCCCTGCCACAGGGTAGGTCCTCACACTGGAAGGCGGCAAGGGTCAGGCCTGTCCCCACACCCCCCGCAACACCAGGGCACAGATGGAGTGGAAGGGGCCCCTGGGAGTGTGAGCTCTGGGGTCTCGGATGCCAGAGGAGCTAGGGCCGGACCTTGCCCTGAAGGAAGGCAGAGGGGTGGAGGGAGCGTGCGGTCACAGGAGCTCAGGGAGTAGGATGGGGAGGGCAGTGGGGCACAGCCAGGAACAGAGGTGAAGGGACAAGTCCACCCGGGTCTGACTGCTACAGAGCCGAGCCTGTGTGCCCTCACGGGACAGCGCTGAGGACCACTTGCAGAAGTGTCCTGCAGGCTAGGGCGGTGGGTGACACAGAGCAGGAGCTGGGCTGAGGCTCTGACCACCAGGATCACGACCACGGAGACGTGAGCCCAGCAGGTGGCACCCCTAGGTCTCCGAACCCCGAACTAACCTCGCACACCGGCATCTCGTCCCCCAGCCGGACGCGAGTCCGGGCCAGCAGCCGCTCGAGCAGGGGCCCTCGGGCCAGGAGCCAGGACAGGGCCAGCAGGAGCTCGCGGCTGCCCTGGGAGCCATCCTCCGGAAGCCGAGAGAACGCCAGCCGAGGGTAACCCTGGGCGCGCATTGCTGACTTCACCAAGCGGACCCGGGCCTCTGTGGTGGCGGGGGGAGAGTCAGCTCAGGGGGGCCCACACGGGGCAGATCCCACCGGAGAGCTCACCGCCACCAGGCTTCCCGCAGCACCTCCAAGGACCCCCGTGCCACCCCCAAGCAGAGGCCTGGCTTGGAGGTGCTGCCAGGAATCAGGAGGGCTGACGCAGGGTGGCCGGGGCCAGAGGCTAACTGGTCGCGGTCTACATTGGATGGCGAGCCCCGGTGCCGCAGTAATTAAGCGTTAGGCTGCAAACCAAAACGTCAGCAGTTAGAATCCACCAACTGCTCCTCAGAAACTCTACGGGGCAGTTCTACTCTGTCCTATAGGGTTGCTCGGAGTCGGAACGGGCTCTACGGCAATTGGTTTTTGGGTTCCAGTGGATGGGCGGGAGCAGGGACTCATGAGGCGGGGCCTGTGGAAGAAGCGAGGCCAGAGCTAACGTGGGGGGCTTACAGAGGGGCGGGGCTAACCACAGGCGGGGTCTGTGGGTGGGCATAGGTGGAGCTAACCAACGGGGGCCTACAGGGGTGGAGCCTACCGAGACGGATAGGGATAGGGTCACAGGCTAACCGGACAAGCTTACAGTGGAGGGCGGAAGCTAACCTGGGGGGGGACCTGTGGGGTGGGTGAGGGCAGAGTAACCAGGGTGTGGCCTACAGAGGTGGGTGGGACTCCAGCATAACTGGGCGGGGCTTGCAGGGTGGGTAGGACAGGGCTAAGGGAGGCGGGCTTACAGGGGCAGAGCCCACAGTGATGGACGCCGCTACAGGCTAACCAGGAGAGCTGACAAGCTTCGAGTTGCAATAGTAAAGAATTCTACGAGGAAAATATTGAACAATGCAGGAAGCATCAAAAGAAGATGGAATGAATACACAGAGTTATTATACAAAAAGAACTGGGCAGCAGGCAGCATTTCAGGAGGTAGCATATGATCGGGAACCAACAGTACTGAAGGAAGAAGCCCAAGCTGCACTGAAGGCATGGCGAAAAACGAGTCTCTAGGAATTGACGGGAACATCAATTGAGATGTTTCAGCAAATGGATGCAGCACTGGAAGTGCTCGCTAGTCTATGCCAAGAAATTTGGAAGACAGCTACTGGCCAACTGACTGGAAGAGATCCATATTTATGCCTGTTCCCAAGAAAGGTGATTCAAATGAATGCGGAAACTACTGAACAATATCATTAATATCACACACAAGTAAAACTTGGCTGAAGATCATTCAAAAGCAGCTGTAGCAATTCATCAACAGGGAACTGCCAGAAATTCAAGCCAGATTCAGAAGAGGATGTGGAACCAGGGATATCATTGCTGATGTCAGATGGATCCTGGCTGAAAGCAGAGAATACCAGAAAGATGTTTACCTGTGTTTTATTGACT